CTTACAAGCATCTTATAAAATAAAACTATATTAGATGATATTATAATAAGGCGAATAAAAAGAGTGCCGGAGGTTTTCTTCTCAATTCTTCTCTTTCGTTCTATGACATTTATTTTAAAACTGTATGTGAAAATAAAATATTAGTTATATTATACATACTTATGAATATTTAATTTTAACAAAATAATAAAACTTTATTCATAACAAAATATGGTTGTGACAAAATTGATCAACGCTAGTCTCCAAACTAGGGAGTTGCCCAAACATGCAAGTTTTAGTAGAAAATAATCTATCTATCTTCTCTCACAATTATACAGATACATTTTAAAGTAAATTGGACAATAGATACATTTGTTTATCAAATTCGAGTGTATTGTCGTTTATAATTAAATCAGAAACAATTTAATAAGTGGAAAGAATCTAGCAGAATCTGCTTTTATTGGTTATAATTAATAAATGTTTATTAATATAATTTGTGCATGTGCAGACTTCCAACAGACCATGGTCTGATGGCGGATTGTATTTGACTAAATATATAAACAATATGAAAATTTTAGCCCATCTAAAGGCTAAAATTTTTTTTTTAGGTCACTCAGGTATATATAAGTTATCTTAAAATAGTAATAAATAGGCATCTAATTATAATTTAAATAAGTTCATAGAGAAGTAGGGAAGGGGATGACGGGTCTGGGCGTTACTGCATACGATTTTTTGCATTTTCTGAGAAGATTTACTATGGTAATATATATATATTTTTTTTACCATAGGAAAGTAGAGATTTCAACGAACTGAAAGCACACCAACTTTTTGAAAAAAACTGATATTTTGACGGGTGAATTTTCGATTGAAAATTAGGGTGTTTTTTCGATATTAATTCAAATTAAGGTGAAAAAATAAATATTTTTAATCAAATAAATTACAGCGTATTTGGGACATAGAAAGGTAAGTTTTCACCAAATTTCGTTAAAAAATTTTTTTTGTAAAAGATAAAAATTAAAAACCAAAAACTTGGTTTTTTGAATTTTTCACATAAATTTTGAGGTTATGTGAAAAATGTTTGAATACAAAAGTTTTAGATCTTTTTATTACCTACAACTTTGCCATTTAACTTTCTTCGATCGGACTTTTAGTTTTGCCGGAAATCGAGATAAACCGTTTTTTACCCTTCAAACTAACCCCCCTACCCCTTCCCGATCTCAGATCGCCCGTAAATTATTTTTCCTTTAATTTTTATAATATTCTCCTCCTTTTCCAATAGGAAACCTATCCTACTATTATTATTTAGGTTTCAAAAATTATCGGCACTGGTCTAAACGTCCTAAGATATTAGGTATTTTACATTTCGATTCATATGCGTGTATAAATGTTTGGCGTCATTAATTACCAAAACGTAGACGGTACGTTAACTTCAGACAACAACAAACACTACCTAACTCTAACTAAATATGTGTTAAATTTTAATTATTTATCATGTTGAAGATATAAAATAGGCAATAGAGCAAAGAGATAGGATTAGGCAATACTGTTATAAAAACAATTACTAAATTTGATTTATTAGCAATTTATTTTTGCAAGTTATTGTTTTCTGAGATGCATCATTTCAGGATGACTTGCGTCGAGGTCATTAACCTTCCTATTATTTAAATTACATATAACTTGGCACGACAGGCATTTTACTTAAGGATTTAGAGACGCGACTTAGTGCTTAGTTTTTTCAGAAAATTTCACTGTCATGTGCATACAGTCATCGTCGCCAATAGTGTATCCGGATAGACCACAAGCCCATGAACAAAAAATACCTGTGAAATGACCCAACCTGAATTACGCTTAGAAGGCTGTTACTATATCTGAAAATAGCTCTGAGCACTATGCCGTCATTTCTGAGCGGTACATGTGAGTACGTGAGTGAATGGACTTTCCCATGTACAATGGGGGAATTTCGACTAATTATTAATGTACGGCTTTGTTATAAGTGTATAGATGATTAAAAATAAATGTCGAAAAACCTAGTGCCGTACAAAAGTGATGGTGCCGGAAGTCGGTGCAAATTTTTAATTCGACGACAGTTGCAGAAGCAATATAGGTCATTTATTACTGTACGGCATTTGTGTCATTCCTTTTGGACACATATACAGATACTTTACCCGTAAACGCCGTACATATTTCCAGCGGAGCGGTCGAAAGCCAAGGGTCGGAACCCTACCCCTACACCCATATACCCTAAGGTCATTGTAAAATGTACGGCAACATGTTCAAAATATTATTTAACACGGACAATAATGTTTTATAATTATGCCGTCCAAATATTATAGTTAATATTTGTGTAATTAAATATTTATCGAAATTTCAGGATTTACCAAGTTCTTACTGCTGTAAGATCAGAGAATAATGTACGGCAACTTGTTTTTTACATAATGTTACTAAATATTACCGTTGTACATTATAGCCGTTCATTATAAATGGTAACAAATAAAAATATTATGATAAAAAAATATGAAATTTCCGAAATTTAGATGACTTTTCAAATGCTCCTAGAGTAATATGGGGAGTAATATTTTCAAAGATTATTGTTATTTTATATGTAACAAATATAAATAAACAAAAAAACCAGATGCCGTACATTTTACTCCAGATTATTCTTTACAGCTGATAAAAACTTCGACGACGTTTGAGGTGTCCCTTAAGGTCATTAATAACTGTACATATCTGAGTATACTACCATAAGGCTGTAAAGTATATTTACAGCCTTATCGTAACAGCAGAGAGAGGTAAAGGAAAAATATTTTTAACAAAAATATATATAATACAGGGCGTCCCAAAGTTATGAGACATGAAGGGAAAGTACCTTAAATATCGCAGATAGGGTATTTTACTAAAAGAAGACTTTATGTTATTTATAAAAGTTAGTAATTCTGCATTCAAAGATTTTTTAAAACTATTGCCTCGTCTGGAAATCGAACCGGCTTAAATTAAAAAAACACCCCTACTTTTATGATGCCAATCGGAAGAATGGCCAAAACCTAATAACTTTTCTAAAGTAACAGACTCGTAGGGGATTTTTTAGGCCGAATACGATAGATAATTTTTTAATTTGATTAAAAAGATATATTCACGCTGTTCCTTTCTTTTAAAATACTATGTTACTTAAGAAGAGTTATTAGTTTTTGGCCATTCTTTGATTGGCATCATAAAAGTAGGGTGTTTTTTTACATTTAAGTCAGTTCGATTCCCAGACGAGGCAAGTAATTTTTAAAAAATCTTTGAATGCAGAATTAATAACTTTTAAAAATAACATAAAGTCTTCTTTTATAAAATACCCTATCTAGATATTTAAGGTACTTTCCTTCATTTCCCATAACTTTGGGACGCCCTGTATTGTAGGCGGGGTAGCGGATATCGAAAGTGTAGGATTATCTTTTATTGAAGATTGTCTAAAGTATTAATAACCTGTGTTATTGCCGTACAGATAAAAGTCACCGGAAAATGACTCTTTTCTGAGAAAAGTAATTTGCCCCATACACCTATGTTTCCACAAAAAATGTACGGATGCTGGAAAATGTTATCTATTTGTGAAGTACTCTAAGATCATTTATTTTATTGATTCATATCATCATCACCTAATGCAATCAAACATATGTTGCGACCCTTGGCTTTCGACCGCTCCGTGGGAATATGTACGGGTTTACGGGTAAAGTATCTGTATATGTGTCCAAAAGGAATCACACAAATGCCGTACAGTAATAAATGACCTATATTGCTTCTGCAACTGTCGTCGAATTAAAAATTTGCACCGACTTCCGGCACCATCACTTTTGTACGGCACTAGGTTTTTCGACATTTATTTTTAATCATCTATACACTTATAACAAAGCCGTACATTAATAATTAGTCGAAATTCCCCATTGTACATGAGAAAGTCCATTCACTCACGTACTCACATGTACCGCTCAGAAATGACGGCATAGTGCTCAGAGCTATTTTCAGATATAGTAACAGCCTTCTAAGCGTTATTCACGTTGGGTCATTTCACAGGTATTTTTTTCATGGGCTGTGGTCTAGGAGAAAGTCCGAAGAGTTTGATAATTAGATTTTTAATCTTTTTAGAAAATACAAGTATTACACTAAATAAAATATTAAAAATAACAAATTCCATTATAATAGCCTTTTGATTGCTAGTGTTTATAATACTTTAGCATGGATTTCTTGGCGGACAGAAAATTAATGAAATATTATAGCAGAAGTAAGTGAAGTATAGTAGTATCTGTAGTATCTTTCGCTGTTCAGCCGTTTGTACGTTTTTTCGTTCTATTAAATATAGATCATAGAATCTTGGCTTCTATTTTCTACGTGTCGGCAGCATTTAAAAGGACCAAATTACTCAACAACTCACCGAGAAATCTATAGGTATACATACTTAGATATGTGGGGTAACATCTTTCAATATTTGAGTAGTTTAATTTGCTGCTTTCGAGTTACCATACTATTTTATAAACGTGTACTGACAAAATAAATTTAATTAAATAGTTTAATCTATTGGTCGATCAGGTATGAAAAGTATCAAATGACTGTAACGACCTCGACAGAGGATAAATTCTGTAATATTTAAATCAAAGTTAGAGTATGTTCGTATTTGTGTATTGCCTTTTATTTTTAGGCCATTGGGTTAAATAAACAATATTTTCTATAATATATTCGTTTATTAAATCAAAATAAAATACGCGTACTTTGAGTTAGGGTGAAAAGAACTTAATAGATTCATACTTAGATAAAAGTAACTAAATACTTACATAAAAACACCTTTATTAGATTTTAGACCAATATTTACAACCGATTCCAAATCTTTGCTTATGCTTTCCTTGCTTTTTAACTATCATTTAATTTAAAACCTTAGTCTCAATTTCTTAATAAATATTTTATAAACAGTTATAACTTATAAAACAATGGAGTATTGACCATGTACAAAATTTCGTTTCAGTACTGACGAAGATGCGCGTCAAGGGATGATGCTAGATGGAGGTAAAATAAAAGAGATTCAAGTTAAACTTCTTCTAAGTTCACGTTCAGAGATGCATAAAGTTATCGAAGCGGCGCGACAAAGTGTGCCAATTTTATCACTATCTACAGCAGCGCCGGCGCCGATCGTTGCCCACGTTCCACCAGCCATATCCAAATCCGTCCCAGTCTCAGTACCTACTCCGCCTATTATCACCCCGTTCTCTGCAGCTCTAGGCTCCAACCCCCTAGCTAGCTTTGGCATACCAGGCCTCGGAAATCCACAAGAAATACCCCAACCGGCCGTTATAGAACCCCCTCCACCACTCATAAGTCCCTCTCACAGCCAATCCGCTGATGATGAGAGGGAGAAGGGGAAAGATGGAGATAAACTCGAACGCAAAAAGAAAGACGAAAGGAGACGATCCAGGTCGCGGACCAGATCACGCGACCGAGATAGAAAAGATCGAAAAAGAGATCGTAGAGATCGGTCCAGGTCACGGGATAGGAGACGTCGCGACCGAAGCCGTAGCAGAGAACGTCGCGATAGAAAGAGAGATAGAAAAGATCGTAGCTATTCGCGTGATCGTTCTCCACGACGATCGCGTGACAAACGTAATAACGATAAGAAGTTATCTCCGCAATCGTCACAAGAACGGGCAATGAATGCTCTCGGTGACGCTAGTCGCTCGCCATCGCACTATGCTAACAAGGCTGCGAACATTATTGGTATGACTAATCCAATAATGAATAACGGACTTCTTGCTAATCCTAACCCAGTAAATACTCGCTTCAATGATCCGTCTATGGCTGAAGCGTTGAATAAGCTGCAGGAATTGGGAAAGAAAAGAAATCCTAATGCATTCCAGGGAGAACAACAAAATGGTGGCCCAAATCAAAGAGGAGGTTTTCGTCGTGAAGGGCGCCGATTCGATGGTCCAGATAGTAATAATTGCTGTGTAGTAATTAAAAATGCGCCTAATCATACAAGTTATGGCGACGTTCGCCGCTTCTTTCCTTACATGATTGATAAACATGGTATTAAAATGATAAATGATAACACCGGGCGTCGAACAGGTACTATTTACGTACGTTTTTGTGACCCTCAGTCAAAGCTTGCGGCTTTGCAAAGAAAAACAAATGAGCTTAAAGGTGCCAAGGTTGTAGTCGAGAACCTAGAGGACGATGTGTACGATTCCGCAGTCGACTCGTTCTTGCCCTATCGGGATGATAATGATGTTGAAGAAGATACTAACATTAAGAATGAAATGATAAACAAAAATGTCACATCTTATAATGTACTCAAATTATCAGATTTACCGCACTATGTAAAAGAGCATGACATTATGAAACTGTTTAGTGACTTCTCTTTACTTTCGATTATAATGGACGATTGTCGTATAACACGTTCAAAAATTGCGTATGCTCAATTCGTTAAAAGTGAGGAGGCAAGAGCAGCTTACGAGCGCAAAGATACTTATGCGTTCGGAAGACGTCAAGCGGCAATAACACCTTTGACTGAAGAAGAATATGAAGAAGTTAAACATAAATTCGACAAAAGCAATGCGCCGTCGTCGAATAAAACAGAAATGTCTCTACCTCGAGACCCACGACAACGTCGACAAGAAAATAATGGTCCAATAGCCCCGCCTGCGCCAATGATGATGCAAAATCAGCCACATGGACCTGGGTTCTTCCCCAACCCCTCATTCCCTAATAACATGTCCGCCTATTCAGCTCAGAATGGAGCTCAATTTGGTTTTCCTAACCAAGGCGTAGTTGACCCTAGAACCGCAGCGGCAAACTGGGCTTCTCGTCCGCAATTTCCCAATCAGAATACGTCTTTTGGAAATCAAGGTCCGGCTGTGGTTAAAAACAATATGCCTGTTGAAACAGAGGAAGAACCTCTTGACTCGGTTCTCATGAAGGGTTTGCCGCGCAACGCTACAGATAGAACTATTGTTCACTTCCTCTCCGATACTGGAGCCGTTCCTTCAAGGATCCACCTGATGTTGGACACAAATGGACTCCCGTCCGGTGATTGTTTTTGTGAATTTAGATCGGAACAGGAAGCTAGACAAGCTGTATCAAAGCATGGTCACATGTTAGAAGGTTGCCGAATTACAGTAGATTTGGTTATGAAAAGCGTAGTTGAAGATGCTTTAGAGGGCCCAAAAGAACCAAAGAACACGCAAGGCTTCATGGGTAACGGCCCGACGTTCTTTGAAGCTCAACGAGGTGGGTTCGGAGAACCACATCATGGTTTCAGAGGTCGCGGTGGCTATGAGCGTGGAGGTTTTAGAGGTGGCTTTGATCCTAGCCGTGGTGGTTTTGATCGCGGGCGGGGAGGATTCGATCAAGGACGCGGCGGATTCGAAGGTCGAGGTGGATTTGACCGCGGTAGTTACAGAGGTCGCGGAGGCTGGAATGAGCGGGCGCGAGGCTTTGAAAGAGGCAGAGCCCGCGGGCGGGGCCGCGGAGTTTTCGAAAACGGCCCCCGCCCGACTGAAGATGAGCCGGACCCAGCGCTTGAGGACTTCGGAGCGCCAGGCTGTGTTGTTTCTATGGAGAATGTACCATTTAGAGCGAGCGTGGATGATATTTTAGCCTTTTTCGGTGATTTCGAATTGACACAAGATGATGTTATAAGGCGTTACAACGAGCGGGGCCAGCCCACAGGTGATGCGCGGGTCGCGTTCCGAACGCCATTTGACGCACAACGGGCGATCAAAACGCGACATATGAACACTATATTTGAAAGACGGGTTAGTCTCACACTGATGTAGCGTGAACCTGCTTGACCATAGTTAAGAAATTAAGTGATAGGAGTGTAAATATGACCCACCGACATATGTGGGGAAAAGCTTAACTACATTAAGTAGAGAATCCGATTTTGAGAAACGTATATTTTTAACTCTCACGTAAGTTAAGCGCCGCAAAGTGAATGTAGTAAAATCTCGGAATAACGAAAAAACCAAGTTAATTTTATCGGCCCTTCTAAAACGATTGTATATAATAATTTCACACTAGTCTTTTATAATATATGTATTTTAATAGAATAGGGTTAATAAAATAAAGTTATGATTAAATTTGTGGATTTATTTTTCCAAAAAACAACATCCTGACAATTTACATTGCAACATAATATATAGAAGGTAACTTTCTTATCTCCTTAATCATTATAATATTACAATTCTTAATGCTCATTTTATAACAATTTTCCAAGCTCAACAAAAACAAATTTTAACCTTATCATGAAAGAGAGCTGTCATTATTTCAAAACTGAAATATTGAGCAAATCAATTTTTTTTTTTCATAAAAATTAAAACTCCCAATAAAATTACTGCTTCATCAAATTTATATGTAAAAATTTAAATCTTATTTCGAATTGATAGAATAAGTAAAGATAAAATGTATGCATTATTACATTAAAAACAATATTTTATTATTTAACTAAATTTGAATGAGTAAAATACAACAACTAGCATAATACAATACATAGTGTAAATACAAATTGATTAAAAATACATATTTGTACTGCGAAATATTTTGACAGCTTTCCAAGACTATTTCATTGGTTTACATTATACTCGAAGAAAATATCTAGTAATTTGTAGGAACTGTTAAAATTGCTCAAGATATTTGTTTATTTTAACAGTAGAAACCGAAAATTACGTCAGTCGTAATCAAACCAAATTACTACATTACTATAAGGGATGTATGCATGAACATATTTTTTTTCACTCACATTAAGTCGTCGTTTTTTCCGACTTCTACTGTGTAATTTAATAAGCGAACACACGCAGCGCCATCTATCAACTCACCAATGGACGCAGCGTGTTTGCAAGACACAAACAAAATATTTATAAAAATACACTGGAATAACGTTTATCTTATATTGTAATAGTCATCTAAAACGAAGAAAATACTTAAAAAAGTATGAAGAATGTTAAGAAGTCCTGAACTTTGGTATTATTACGCGATTTAAAGATGTAAAAAACACACCTTTGCCAAACTAAACTTCGCATTATAACTATTGTGATAACACATTAATAAAAACTTACATTTTAACATAAATACTCGAATGAAATGTTCTCAAAAGTTATTATATTTACATAAATGGAAGAATATATTTCGCCAGAGTTAATTTGCACCCAATATTTAAGTAGCTTTTAAAGTAAAACTAAGTTTAAATCTATACTTGTGACATTTTACAATTTTATTAGAGATTAAAGAGGTGGAAAGCAGAAACCGTCAAAATAAATGTCTTCAAAAATTTGTTAGTAAAAAAACCTGCAGAAGTATTTCAATACAAGCGCTCTACAGTATTTATCTAAAATTTCTAGTATGCAAATTGAAAATATAAAAAATGCATCTGGTCCCAAATAGAAACATTTAAATTCCATTTGAAACCTTAATATTGTAGAGAAATCAATATAAAGAAAAATATAATATTATTTAGTATTACACCATTCGACAGAGCCAAATGGTTTTGAAAATTTATTGATAATATACCAATATCTTCTATTGGTTTTTCTATCTAAAATGCAGATTATAAATATGCGAACACAAAAACGCCTCTATATGTTTATTATTTCTAGCTACACATCGATCACAGTGACAGACAAACATTAATAAATATTCCTACCTACACTATACGGATGACATTGGTTCTAAATGATGATAGTGAAAAATTTCATTCAAATGTAGTTTACATAATAATAAAAATTCACTCCTATTTATGGAAATCCTTTCTAAGTTTTGTTTTGCTAATATATGGCAAAGATCAAGTTATTTCTGAACCCACATCACCCGTTGAAAGTATATTACAAAATATATAACTTTCGAGGTAATTAACATTTAGAATAATCCAATATCGTGTAAGGATGTACAAGAAATAAGTGTATATCTAAAAATATCGTTTCAGAGATCTTGTCGAGGACTGAAGTTTTAGTTTATGTGTTCCTGAAATACAAAAAATATTATATCAATTGAGGGTAGTACAAAAATAGGACTTTTTAATAAATATAAGAGACAAACACATGTATAGGCTGAAATCAACGGGTAGACTCATAGCTAATAAGAGACCTCTTTCAGACAATCCTAGTTAAGTAACAACTCAATTACTCTCGACTCACTTGACATTCTAATAATAATTATATGTTGTTTTCTGTTACTTATTTATGTAAATTGAAATATTACGTTTTATAGGACCGAAAAACAAATATTATTTAGTTAAAATTGATAACAGAACTTTGTGTAATTCAATCAGTCTATTTACTGAAAACACATTTAGCATTTTAAAAATAAATATAAAACTTACTTTTTGTTTCTCCTAGTAGGCGAGCCATTGTTAGAATGATTCGAGTGGTTAGGGCTGTCGCTCACTTCCGTCGAACTTCGCACGTCGCCGTCCATCTGAAATTGATAAGGTGGTTCATACGACATATTTCTATTAAAACGGGATATATACTGATTCCAATTATTCGCTTTCGAGTGCTAAATCAGAGATAATATTATCCGTCAAAGACATTAGAAATTTCATACTAGTTAGAAACAAAAATTTTAGGAAGCCATAGAGCAATTACCCTTTATATATAGTAATAATAGAAATTGAATTGTTCAATTAAGAAACTTAAATGTAAGAAATCATTAGGAAATTGTTAACACAGTAAGTAAATTTTCAAAACATATCATGAAAAATGTCGAGTCTGCCCCCTTAAATAATTAAATTGCCCTCTGTGGGGCGTAGGTCCCACGTTGGCAAACACTGCCACAGAAGTTCTATATTTAAAATACAAAAAAAAACATACGTCGAATTAAACCAACTTTAGAAGTTTTTTATTTAAAACCATTATTATATCTCACCTGTCCAGCCTTCATAGCATTGTACGCGATCTGTAGGATAAGAGTGGTCCATACAACGTGCAGTACGAGAAGCAGACAAAGCAGCGAGTTGAATATATAGTACGCCGGGAACGTTGGTACTAATTGTGGCGCTCGTACTAGCGTGCTGAAAATTATAATAATTTGATTAATTTTGTTCAGAAATTTCGTCTTATTGAAGAATTAGTTTCATTTGCATTCAAAGAATCACTATAACTGTCAAACCAAGAATTATTTAAAAAATTAGGTTAATTTTTTTATTATTAAAAATTAATTTTAACGCTGGACAGTGAAGTCATATCAATCACCTATTTGCTAATAGTAGTAATAATTGCAATAAATAACTCACTTGTATTGACATTTGTCAGCCATTATTAGTTATTTAAAAAATCAATTTGGTAGGTACATTCAAGAGTATTTAATACGAGGATTCAGGCATAAAAAAACGAGTACTAAAAATATATTATACCTATTTGAATCAACTCTTCCGACGCAACTTTTGTACAAAAATTACCCGACCTTATCAAATTGCATCGTCAGCTGTTTAGGCGTAATAAAAAAACCTAAGTACTTTTGTAATTTAATAGTTACCTCCATATAATGTAGAAGGGGAAAATGCCAACTCTAGTTGTGATCCAAGCGACGATCAGTGCCAGGAACAGGGAATCACACAGCTTCTGGTAACCAGCATATTTCGATGCTTTGACCCCCTGAAAAATTCATACAAAAAAATGTTTTATTTTGCAACTTGAAATTACGGACTATACACATAAATTTTTACGGTACACTCTCTATTCCATTACTAATATAATATAACGTGCGTACGTGCTCGTCCGAGTCACGGGGGTATCGAAACACCACCAACTAACTGCCTAGCTTAGGGGTACTAATGACTTTTTTTAATAATAAAATGCAACTATGGGGCAATAAAACACCACTCAATAAGGCAAATATAAATAAAAGAAATTTGTATATAAATCTATTATCCCAGTATGCCTTACCTCAACAAATATATCAGCGCAGTCGTGCAATAGCAGGACCAGCGTGCCAATACGGTGAAGATTGCAGACCCAGGAGAAGGAGAGTAAAGCGATGGTTGCCAAGTGATGCACAAACATCTGCCAGAAGTCTTTCCGACGCACGTCCCAGAACTGGGATATCGTCAGCGACCAATAGAACGCTGACGATATCATGTAGTACCACCAGATGTCATCTGTCAGACCCTAGATATTGCAAGATGATATTATAATTAACGCTGCATACAAAAGGGAATTTGAATTACATTTAGATAGGGCTTCAAGCTATATACAGTTAAAAAAAATCACAGATATAGAAAGATAAGATGAAGTAACTGCTTTGCTGTATAATTCATAAGAATCGGTATTCTTAGTTGGATTAACTAACAAATATATTTTCTTTAAAGTAAAAAGGAACAATCGATAGCCACAATCTCACGTAGATTTTTGCATCATCAATAAAGGCTATAGTTTTCATGAACAATTCAATATTTAACTATAGTCGTTTTAATTGTTTATTGGTATATAGTATATATACTTAAACAACTTTGACATATTCGAATTTTAAATCAAATTGGCCACATACGTTTTTATATATGATCGACATTCCCACTATCATCATCATCCCATTCAGGGTCAAGGCACCTCAACGCATGAGATAAGTTTTCAACTTTAAAGACTTTTAAGGACGTTTCAAACTGTACAGGAGAATAATTTTAATTTTCTGTCAGAAATGTTGGTAGGTACGTCTATTGCTATCTGAGTTGATATATTTATTCTTGTCTAAAATAACTAAGTTAGGCGAGGTCAACGTCTTTACGACTAAGCTTAGTCACGCTCTATAGCTTTAGTAAAACCTACAGGGTATAACTTATTATAAATAATAATATACATGTGTCTTGTTCCTTAAAAATAATGTTTTTTTAAGTACCGCAAAACACCGCCATAAAACATGGGGCAGACACTTTTTTGTCACACATTTCATTTACATTCTGTTAAGGCATAGTGAGTGATCAGCTGTCTGAACCTATAAACTCGAAACTATCACTTTTTGCGATAATTGAACTCAGAACCATCCCGGCTTCCAAACTCTATATAAAATCTTAAGACTTTTAACAGTTAAGAGTAATTTTACTATTTAATACCAGCCTTAAAAATTAGTGTTGTATGCTATACAGATGTACAATAACACAAAGTGGACGTCAATGACCTCGTCCTTAACTCACTAAGGGTCGATTCGACCAAACTTCAATTTAACACGAGTACTTCAGAATATCTTCAGATTTTAATCTCGAGTAAATCCATATGTTTCCAGTAATGATAGTATATTGCGCTAGGAATAACAATAGGAATAGAAGAGAATGGTGAACGAAAATAAAACTCGGAAATAGTGTTGTTCTACAACGGGACAGTGTAAGAGCATACATCATGTCAACTCGATTTTGCCGTATTATAGAGTGAAAAAGTAGCTTTTAAATTCAACGACAAAAAAGTTTTTATTCTGTTTGTTTGACTTTCGTCTAAAGGAACTTTTTGAGCCTATTGAATTTCATTCTATAAAAAAAATCTAAATAAATAAATAAATAATAATTGTTTTAACTTTCATTATACAATCCAGACTATTAATTTGTGCTTGGTTGACTTGAAATTAAAACACAGAATAATATTTGTGAAATGACAGAAATAGCTGATTGATGCTGCCATTAAATTATTCTAGAATAGTGTTTTGTGAAACGTATGTGTTTCGAATAAGCATATTTTAATTTTATTTAAATAAATTTACTCTCGATTCTGAATTTATTTAAGATTAAGATTTACTCTTGTTTGGTCGAATCGGCCCTAATTATTTTAAACAATGTGGTCCCTTATACCTTGAACACTTTTATAATACCAGACTACGGTTTTCGCAGCTGTGTATATTTATGTCTATTACGCATTTTCGGTATTAACGTTAAATCTACTTTATCTAACCTATATTAAGGCATAAAATAAAATTTTTGCACAAACTCTTGGGTACCAAGTAGATTATTGTAACCTGATATCTTACAGACTAGACTAGACTTAACTACAGATAAATATTACCATAGATACATGCGGTAATTTTACTCTTGTTTTTATTTATGTTTCATACTGATTAACACCTATAAAAGTCATCGTAGTATTTTACGAGCAATTCCCATAAAATGCTATTATTTCGTATGGATAACATTGTTATTGATATTTCACAATCGTTAACCTACTTTAGTATTAGACATAAAACTTATTTATGACCAGCCATTGTTTGTTTTCAGCTAATACAACTTTGGTAACTATGGGCAACGCTTTACCCACAAATGAATACAAACGTTCTCGAAGACAATTTTCTATAGAGATACAACAAATAGATAATAAGAACACAGTGGCGCTACAACGCTAAATCGGTCTTGGCCTCACATTGCATCCGTTTCTTTGAACATTTTTATTTTATAGACAAATAGGTGGTTCAGCCTTGTGTGACTGACACGTGTCATCGGTGTTTGGGTTTGCATGCGGGTTTCCTCACAATGCTTGCCTTAATGAGGTTCGCAAGCTTAACACTGCTGCTGTGTATATACAACTGCTGCCAATTACGCTAGGGTAAATAATTACCTATTAAGAGCAACAAAGAGGAAGCACAATTGCGACACGTTCCCCATTAATAAGTTGTCAGGGAAAGTAACAAACAGGGGCCGAACACAACAAGTCGAATAAATTGAAAACCGTATGTTTAAAAAAACGAAAATAGTTTCGAGTCATCTACACTGGTAAGTGTCTGCTTTCGAATTTCGCAACAATAGTATCGATGACATAAAACTTGCTAGAATCTAAATTATCGAGATACAAAATACGTCTTAACCTGTCCTAAAATACACTGATACTTGTTCTACCGAAACAAAATCTGAATAAAATTCAAAATACTGAGAATAAGCATAATTGACAGCATACACATATCAACTATAAACCAAGGGCAGAGATAACCCGCATACGGCAAGGGTTAGAGGAGAAACGTCAAGAAGTACTGTATTATATGATATATTCTCCCTAGATAGGACTCCCTAATTCTCAACTCGGAATCTTACTCTGTAACCTTTAAGGTTTAAGAAATGGATAGATGTTTCCATAATCATTTAATGCTTAACTCTAAAAATTATCTATACATCCTAATTAATTCTATAGCCTAACTGGCATGTTTTTAGATTCATACTTTACTAGAAAATGTTCTAATTGGCTTATATATTATATATTCTGAAGATAGTCTACATTAAAGATCGATAGGTTCTTAGAGACTGCGACGCGCGACCTTGATTTGCGTCGGCCACCAGGTCCCTACAACTCATTGCTTAGTATAGCAACTCTCTGTTCACGATGTGGAAATTGAGTCTTTAATTCCTCCGGACGCTTAGATATTAATGTCATAATAAGATTATCATCTTCTTCAGCCTTTAATAACTGTTAAATATTTTTTCCTAGATGAAGATAACATATGTACTGCACAGGAAAAAAACTGTCACCCATAAAAGCTGCGGGAATGGATCTAGGGGTCACTACGACGGCGACCAGGGTGGGTGGTCGCGTTGTCGAAAGGCCGCAGTCGCTAAGACCTGAATGCTACCTTAATATTATCTTTGTATCGCCAGTATGATAGCTATAAAATTGTAACAAACAAACGCTTATTTTAGCTTTAGATCGTTTTAATGGTCCCAACATATTTTTTCAACAGGAACTATTCATATTTCCCATTATATTAATAATGTATATGTTTAAAGTACACTCAAATTACAAAGCAATGCCGTCATGATGCAACTATGTTGCTATTAATTACTAACCTGTATCCAATAGTAACAAAATCGTAAACAGAATTACGTAAATAAAACAAAGTTAAACACAACCGACCGAAATCTGTCATCCGAAAGTGAGGCCGTTAAAAAATTCAGTTGCAGTTATAAACGTTCACTAATTGTCTAAATTATCTTTGTTTAAACTACGATAATAGCTCCAATTTGGAGTTACATTTGACAATAGTCATCACTCTCACGGTAATTATGAATGGAGCTCAATTTATCCGAATTATATTCCATTACGAAACACAAAATATTAGAAAAACTACATTATATACACAAATAAGAATTGTGTAAGAAATTACCATAATAATTTTCCAATAGCTAAATATATTAAAATCAATTAGTCCGCTCGTCACGCGGCTGGGTCTAAGTAGAGGGCCATAGCTTTAAAACTGTACTTATAATACAATTTATTTTATTATACTATATTAAGCTGAATTACGACGTTTTATTCATTCAAAGCTTCAAATTTCGAGGGCCCGGCTTCCACTGCGAGCGGAACGGACCCATTACGGACTCCGCTATACTCGTAACGATGATTTTCATACATTTTCATTTTCATTTCCGTGGGAAACTCGGTCAACTCGCTATCTCATATGTGACTCTTTCATCGCTCTCTCCGCTGCGCTCGCCTCCGCTTTGGTGGAAGCACATGTATGAAAATCATCGTCACGAGTATAGCGGAGAAACCGTTTATTCTGACGCCATTTATATTTGAATTAAAATTAAATAACGCATTATTCAATCTACGGGTAAAACTGCTTGTTGTTTATATAAAAATATACTTAGAGTTACACGCGCATGACACATAAAAAATCTTTCATAGTAAAGTTATCGCAATCATTAATCGGTCAGTTTTATTTAAAAAACTAAATGTCTTACCGCGGTAAACCTGTAACTTTATTTAAGTCATGGTATAATATTATAGTATACCTTATTATATTTTGCAAGCTAAAAATAAGCATTATTATAATACAGGTCACTGACAGGTCAAGGTAACACCAAGGTAACGCTAGTTTAGGTTAATGTTAGGCAATTACTGAAACAGGCGAAATTGCTTTTAAGTGCAAGGCGAGGTTTTAAACAATATACACAGTAAATTATTTTTAAAATTATGTTTGATATTACTTTTGCTTTACCAGCAGGGAAAAATCTAATGCTTCGCCATGGAATATTAATTCGTCACGGAATAAATAAGTATGGGCCGCCTACGTATCTACATATGAGTAAATGTAATGCTTCACAATGGAATACTAATTCGTCACAGAATAAATAAGTATGGGCCGCCTACGTATCTACATATGAGTGTCTCGTTATTAGCCAGTCATACTTCATAGATTTATTTACATATATGTGAAATAAAATACCCGGTATTCTGGGACTCGTAATAATGATAACGACAATATTAAGGCTTTATACCACTCGATTACAAGGATTAGAAATAAGACCTATAGATAACTATTGATATAATTAATTGCTATATAATATTTACTCTCTTGACGAGAAAAGTTTTTCTGATAAGGGAGCGTTCAAGTATTACGTAACGCAATTTTTGGAGACTATTGACACCCCCTCATGTAACTCGCCGTAACGTTTTTGTACCCTATTGTAAAACGTTTCGTGACTACTTGACTCTTTAGTTACTATTATGTGCTGTAAGTCGAAAAATTTAATCCCAGCATCGTAACGTTTCTCAAAAGGCACCCCCCGTACGTTACGTAATACTTGAACGCTCCCTAACGTCTGTTCAACTGTTTGATTAGAATGAAAGACCGATTGCTCGATAAAACCACCATAAGGACTCGAGCTGATTAAATATTGTTAGATCATTTTTCTTAAGTCGGATTAATCAATTAACACAAGTCACAGTTTCAACGGTCCGCAGTGAGTTAATATCGTTACTACATACACTTGATTATTAGGTTTAATGACCCGACAAATCATCAGCTGATTACAAACCAAAGCAAGACTTATTTCTATGTAAAAAATAATTGTGCCAAGATTACGTAACATTGACTGTTTTACATAAAAACACACAGGCAGTGAAGGTCAAATACTTATGCTTTTTAGTCTTAACTAGAGTTTTTCAGATTAAATAGTTGTATGCTAGATAACGGCCGTGGCTTTGTTCCCAAGATGTAAATTTAACAGACATTTTATGTATCGTCGTGGCGGGTTTTGGAACGATTTTCGGGCAAAGAATCATTGTTAGTAAATACACAAGGTGATCGATCACCTACTTGTCTATGATGAATAATGATTAATAAAACTGGCACAGAAATGTATCTGATTAATGCAGTGCTGAAAGATTCCGGTGCCAGACAACGTCATTTTCTTAACACTAAATATCACTCAGACAAAGGAGGCATCACAACAAAGGGAAATAAACAGGCTTCATTAATGCATATTAAAAAAAAATTACGACGATTTCAAACATCCCCATAGAAACCGAAATATTTTCAAGCTATTTAAAATAATATTTTTCATTCGACGTGTTTTATTTTTGAATAATGGAAATATAGATTAAACACCAATTATGAAACGTTACATTCTAAATATAACATATTACATACCACAAAAATATGTTTAGTGAAGCCGCACACTGCATTTAGCGTTATTGCAAAAACCTACCCAGAATTCATTACCGATCACTATTGCACGCAAGGACTTCTTGCAACTGTTTCTAAACTAATACGAAATAAAAACGCATTTGTCGTTTTTCCTTCGCGCCTGTTATTATCACTTTCTTTTTGACATTTTACGCTTTATAACCTAACACACAATTACGTGTCCCCATAAACCAAACTATGCGGTCAAGGTCGAAAAACTAATGCTCAGAAACCACTATTACCTTTGGATAATATATAATTAATTTATAATGTATTAACTATAAAAATAACTTAAAATATAAATAGTATACTTTTAATAACACGTTATCTCTAATTAAGCATTTTTAACGGAAACTTAGAAAATTCAAATAATTTTAAATGTAAGAAAACTAAATAAGCTAAGCGCGAACAGCCTTCTGTTCCATAAAACGTCATGGAATTTGACATTCTTAGTCATAGTTCGGTCTCGACTCTGAATCTTAAACCCCCTAGACCTAGAGTGAGCTAAGTAGTCATATAGATATATAGATAGACATATAAGTTCCGTTCGCATTTATACTTGAACCTCAGTTAATATAAAAATAGTCACACAGCTTGTCCTTATCAATGAACTGACCTGATGTGGATATCCAATATAGCACTGATCAATATCCCACAGCCACTCCTTATCCCAAAGGATATAAACTCCAAAGCTGAAGTTGACTACATAGAATGTGACTTTCCAGGCGTTTTCGCAGAACTTAGTTAGAGTCGAGGGTTTATCCTGGCTCCTGCGCAGACGCCACCACCTCTCCACTTGACGCTCTGTTATATCTAGCTGCTTCGCTAACGCACATAACTGAAAAATATATTTCTAACTTGAACAAATAATTTTTATTTCCATGTAATGTTACTGCATTTTAATTAAAAGAAAGTAAGAACATAATGCTATAAATATCAAAGTAGATAAAATATTTTTTATTATATATCAATAAGCAACGTTGTATATGCACTTGTATGATAATATAGTTTACAAAATCAAAGGTTAAATAAAATTAATTAAAATAATATAAACAGCTTCAAGAAAAATATAGTATTTACTCACTATTTATATAAAGGTGTCTTTAACAAAGCCTCAAGTCCCTTAACAAACGTATACGAAACTTAGCTTAACTTAGCTTTAACAACAATATAATTTTATTCAGTTTATCTAAATACAGAACTAAATAAAAAGTAGAGAACCGCTATCAAGGACATTACTAAAAATAATCAGTCCTAGTGCTTTGATACGTTTTCGGGGGGCTTATAAAAAACACGTGTTCATCATGTGATAATATTTAAATTTCAAGTAATCTGACTGTATTATATTGATAAAGGTCATGTGAATGGCACGTAAATTGAATACTAAATAATGAGAATAAATAAATACGAATAAATTAATCATTTACATCTCAGAATTATGATTCTCATGTTTGTTAAATAACATATTATATAATAAAAATCAATAAAACCTGTATGTGGTGGGAATTATATCATTAATTATCTTTTCACTAATTTATTTTGGTTTTGTAAAGTAATATACAATATACATATATAAAAATGAATCCCTATTTCCCTTGGTCAAAGCATCACGCGTGAACGGCTGGACCGATTTCACTAATTATTTTTTTGTTGTGTTTGTTATTGTCAGGAGAAGGTTCTTATGAAAGACAGAAATACTTATATACTCATACTTAACCACCATACAATTCAAACATTTTTGATGTAACCTTGTGGCGTTTGACATAACATTGACAGAATGCGTGCTGCAAATATAGTCAAAGAGGATGTAAGGCTGGACAGATTGGAATGATTTTTTTGTATGCGTTTGGGTGACTCCCTGGATGGTTTTGATTCACAAATCAGCCCAGTCCAGGTGCTGCAGTCGGTACTATTATACTTTGTTTAATATACTAATCGCTTGAAATATCATGCAGGACAACGTCTGTCGGGTCCGCTAGTACATTATAAAATAGCCAACGTTTCTTTGAATTTTAATGATGCGTAAATCGCGTAATAAGTACTATAATATGATATAAAAGTTAAAAATAATATCTATAATTTCCTAAATAATTTTATATATGATATATATTTTTTCTCTAAATAATAAATACAATTTTTTATGTTACACAATACTATAGACTTACAAATGGAAGTGTAAAGTGTATGTTTTTTTTTTAAATTTTGTTGGAAGCATTTTTAATCTTGGATTGTATACAAAATCTATTTCTTAAAATCATTCTATTTTGTACTATATGTGAAGTTCTAATGTTCCTACATATGAAATTAATTTTCTTAACTGATTGATACATATAGCCAAGCCACAATGAAAGAGTTCTAATTGTGAAATTTTGACAAGTGATGAGGAAAGCCTTGTTTCTTTCCCCTTAAGTATTGATTGTATGAAAATATGTGACACTTATCAGCTTTATAAGCATGCCAATGAGACAAGAGAAAGATCTGTCTGCATATTGCAAAAATTTACTGCTAATTAAACCACCGATGCATCATGTCTACCAAAGTATGTCGAGTATTACAATATTTTAAGAAAACAAGATTCATATACTTAATCTCACATAAATTATATTGACAGCAATCCTTTAAGATAAAGACACCTTGAATTCTTGACCTTATAATTAATAATATAGAAGAAAATTTTTTCCCCCCAACCCCCCCCCCCCCCCCCGGGCCCGCCCCCCCCCCCCCCCCAAAGAAGGGGGGGGGGGGGGGGGAAGAAAAGGGGAAGGGGAAAAAAAAAAAAAAGGAAAAAACCCCCCCCCCCCCCCCCCAAAAACCCCCCCCCCCCCCCCCCCCCAAAGGCAGGGAAGGGGGCCGGGGCCCAAAAAAAAAAGGGGGGGGGGAAAAAAGGAAAAAAGGCTTCCCGGGGCCCCACCCCCCCCCCCCCCCAAAAAAAGGCCCCCCCCGGGGGGAAAGGGGGGGGGGGGGGGCGGAAACCCCAAAAAAACCCACCCCCCCCAAAAAATGGGGCAAAGGCCCCAAAGGGGCCAAACACCCCCAAAGACCAAAACCAAAAACCACCGGCGGGGCCCCCCCCCGGCCGGGTAGGGGGGGGGGGGGGGGGGGGGGGGGGGGGGGGGGGGGGGGGGGGCCCTCCCCCGGGGAGGAAAACACCCCCCCCCGAAGGGAGGGGGGGCCCCCCCCCCCCGGGGGGGGGGGGCCCCCGCCCCGGGTGGGGGGGGGGGGGGGGGGGGGGGAAAAACCCGGGGGCCCCCGGGGGGGAAAGGGGGGGCCCCGGGGGGGGGGGGGGGGGGCCGCCCCCCGGGGGGGGGGGGAAATAGGGGAGGGGGGGGGGGGGGGGGGGGGGGGATAGCACACGCTGACACCAACTTTATATAAAACAGGGCTAAATATACATTCATAATTATTTGTAATATTTATTTAGGAATGCATGTTATTCGTGATTTGCAAGAAGAAATGTTAACATTAATTTTAAGTATAATTTAATAAGCACATATATTTTTTTGTTCCTTCTTTGGATATTTTTAGAACAGTATTACATTGCAAGTGAAATACAGACCTCTACATCTCAATTAAAAGCCCACTAGCCACGTCCATCTCAAGAAAAAGTAAATGAAAAGGAAATACTAACTATTAGTATTGAAAAAATAAATCTTTATAAAATAAATGCAAGTATGCCATTGCCAATATATATATACAAGGCAGGTTAGAGAATTAAATTTCAATTACACTGAATAATTCACTATGTATTTATTAGTAACTGTGGAATATGGTACATACATTCATTGTGTTTTACGTGTGAGGAAAAAGAAATCAATCTTGCACACTATAATAATACTTCAGAATGTTTATAAAACTATAATTTTTTAACTTTTTTTGTATGACTTTGTTTTAGATTTTTATAAATAATTAGTTTAGCTGTTAGGAGATGAATTGTTCTTACTTGTTTGTGGTTCCGAGGTCCTGACCTATAAGCTGCCTCTAGTTTAGGATTTTCAGGTGCTCTTCTTGGTCTTATGTCTTTGATACCAAGGTATTTTCCAAATGGAGCATACAATATCCTGAAAAACTGTATATATTATGTATTTCTTAAATTTAATTGTTTTAGGCAGAAACAATTGAAAGACCAAAAAAATGCAATAAATTATGTGTGTAAAAAATGTATTTACATACAGAAATATGAAATATATATAACATATTTTAATGTAGGTAATAGTAAATTAATTATCTTATCATGTGGTTCAAAGAACATTATATCAATAGTATCATGATATGCACTATCAAACAAGTTTTATTCTCAGGATAATTTGGCAATTTTTACCTATTTAAATGATAAAAATATTATATATATATAAGGCTAGTATACTTATTACTTCTCATTTCTTATTAGTATATAATTTTTGCTCATTTATAATGTAACATTTAAAATATTATGGGCTAACAATATCACACTTTTCACCTAGGTATTGTATTATAGCTAAGGAAATAAATGTCTCCAACAAATTTAATTGCAAGGAAATGAAATTATTAATTATTGTTGAGCAGGCTTTGAAATACATTACAAAATATACACATATTCACATTATGAATAAAATTGCCTGACTACAAAGAATCGAAAAATAATATAGGACATATCGTCTTGGCATTCTAATCCTTTTAAGGAAACCTAAGAAATGCAAACGTTTTTCGAATAAAAATTAATACGATGGTATTCGAAAATTTAACGCCCCCGACTAGAAATCAATTACAACAAGTAACTTGGTGAGTAATAGATAACTTTCGGTACTCACCTATCTAGCACATAACGGAGACTTATAAAAACGAGTGCTAACGGTATAGGAAAGAAGACATGCCGATGATCCGTATATACTACAAGCTTTTCCGGCCCGGGAGCGATGTCAGACCATGTTGTGTTAGGCGGTAACCAAACATATTCACTCCAAAACGTGTTTATTAACGACTGTAACATAATTTTTACTAATAAAACTAATCACAGTGCCGTCAATAGCTAGCAAAACTAAAATTTAACTAAAAATAATTATTAAATTAATTTTTGTTATCCCCGCGGACCATTAACTCGTATGATTGACGAAGCGCGGCGACAGGGACAGGTCAGAGTTGCCATTTTCCAACGTTTTGACTTTTCAATACATTTCAAAGGACAGTACATAAAAATGATTTTATCTATAACAGGCTTAAAAAATCAGAAGAATTCCATGACTTAAAGGTCTTTGTTACCAGGGCCTTAGTCAAGATGTCAGTAGTGTATGTAGAACGTCAAAAACTAAATTTGTATGAAAACTTTTCGACACGAACTGTCATTTCCATACAAATTTATTTTCGACTTTCTACATACACTACTGTTAAGCCATCTTGGCTAGACCGGCCCCCAAAAATAAAAAAAAAAAAAAAAAAAAAGTCAGAAGAATTCAGAAGTGATTAAGGTAGTTTTCCAATTACAGCACTAGAGCGTGTTATGCAGCATTATTTGAATTAAACGTTGAATGTTCCAACTACAGCAACGCTTCGCACAATTTAGCACTCTCAAAAGTAATGCTCTCGCGTGATACTCGCAATCAATACCAACACAGTGACAGAAAATTGACTAGTGTTTTTTCTTTAAGTTGGCATTAATCGAAATTTTGTTTATAATATGACGGTTTTACATAAAAATAAAACCGATATTATGTGCCGAGAAGGAAAACATACAGCATTGTATAATGAAGAAGCAATGTATACTTAGCCATGAAGTGCGATACATACCGAGTGAAATAGTTCCGCTTAGATAGAATAGATGGCGCTGTAATCGCCTCAACTTCATACTTATCTTAACCAGCTAGGACGTTGTCATTTCCACAGTCATAGAGTCTTCACCAGGAAGAGCTTCCTACAATGCTGTATGTTTTCCTTCTCGGCACATAATATCGGTTTTATTTTTATGTAAAACCGTCATATTGATGTGCCTCCGGAAAACATACAGCATTGTATAATGAAGACGTGTTTGTTATCTGCTGGTGGATGTATAAAGTACAGTATAAAACACAACGCTATGATGATTATGAAGAATTAAAGGCTTTAGCTAAAGCCGTTATTGTTTATATAACTATTACTATTTATTTACTTGCCAATATTCTTAATCAAAGCATAAGTATTTAGCAATAATTATTATTCTTAGAAACGGTATAAATATAACTATATTGATTGAGATGTACAATTAACGTAATAATATAAACTTACTATCATCACAACAAGGTATTTCTATAATTACGATGGTGCAAATGTATTAAAGAAAGAGTGATGAGTTTTCTCTACGAGAGTCTATCTCGCGGCAGTAATGATTAAAGAATGTATGTATTTGAAGATTTCCAATTACCGTGTAATAAAAAATTTCATCTAGTGGTTGAATTTCGACCCAATTATTTTGCTGTTGATGGATATAAAAATATTGTTTAAATTTTTTACTCGAGATCTTCTTGTACCTATTACTCAAAGCTATTTTTTTTTTTTAAAGACAGTTCACACCAATTGACCTAGTCCCATGCTAAGCTGGTGAAGCTTGTGTTATAGCTTGTGGGTACTAGGCAACGGATATACATACATATTATAGAAAGATAGACATATAATTACATATTTAAACACCCAAGACCCAAGCACAACACCAAATGCTCATCACATCAATGTTCGTCCCAGCCGGGAATCGAACCTGGGACCCATGGATTCGCAGTCAGGGGTACTAACCACTAGACCAATGAGTCGTCAGGACTAACTGAAGTCTCACTAAAGTGATAGGGCATATGTTTTATCGTGGTGTTTAGAAAGTTTCCATGTTGACTGGCGTCTTGAGTGTCTGTCTTAGATTCGAATACCGGTGTTAAATAAATGTTACCACTTACCACCATCATCTACGAATTACTCGTCAGTAATTACTAATAAAGTGAACCCTGCGGCCCAGTGCTAAATGCAATACTGTGGCTGTTCTGCGAGCCGTATCGAATAAAGTGTCCCTAGGAGGGTTGGAAGAAAGCCAGTCTAGTACTATTCGCGGGTCCCACGTGACGGATGATTTCACGACTTTTGGTTTAGCTACTCCTAATACCCTGAGGGTGTGTTTAATAATACAATTTGAAAATGTTTGTTGTTCTACATGGGGACCGCAAAAAGTTAAAATTGCCGATTTGCGAACAAGGATGGTTGATAGGATAAATGTCTGATTTGGCTTTCTGTACTGTCTAAGTTTTTGCTTTGTAATATTATGTATGATAGCTGTAAGATTACTTATAATTAAATTAATAAATTAATAAATTTTCTTTTACAAAAAGTTATATTAAATTTTTTGCAATATCGGCTGTTTGAGGGGATTTTGGGTTCACTTGAGAGTTGTCACACCATGACAGCCCTCTTTTGATTGCGGGTAAATAAGTGGACAGGTGGAGTGACCAACTCTTTCAAAAGTAGATCTTTTTCCAGTGTGGACCAGTCTTTTATTTGGGCACCCCACCCCCAATTTCCCAAACTTTTAGGGTCAATGCTTGCATTTGTGGAGGAGACAGTGCAATTGTCGTATCTAGGAGTGTCTGCGATAGGTGTTGAATTTCGTGGGGGTGATCTAGAGACCTGGATTTCAGGTCCTGCAGCCAGAAACCTCGCGGCCAATCTGAAGCAACTATCAGATAGGTTCCCGTCGCCCGGTTTAGGTGTGCTAAAACTCAGGGTAACAGACTTGGAGGGGGAAACACCCATGCTAGAGGAAGAAGGTGCCACTACGCAGCCTTTTTTTTTCCCCTTTATAATCTGTCTGCTATGGTCACCCTGGTAGGTAATGTACCGACAGAGTTATGTTGAATTTTTCCGTCAGGTGCAATAGTTTGAAGTTTAGTGTAAGTAACCCTATCGATTTCGTTCCACCTTCTGTTTGAATGTATGCAATCAGAGTTTCATTTGTCCAATTGTATTAACACGTGTGTGTTTTGTAATATTTTTACATTTATTTTTATTGCGGCTATCACTGCATATAAGTCCTTTTTGTTGCAGTGCCACGTTTTCTGTTGGTATGACCATTTTCCTGACAAGTTTCCCGTCAAGGGGATGTGGCCCCCCCCAACCCCAATCCGAGGCGTCCGTCGCTAGGAAGTGGGTTGCAGGTTCTTTGTGTATAGGCGTCGTCTGATGAGTAGCTCCGAGCCACCACATCAGTTCCTGCCCTACAATCTGAGGCAGCAGTTGACCTCGACGGGGTCGGATCTTGTTGAATTGTCGCAGAAAGATCTGTACCTGGCGACAGTGAAGCCTCCCGCGGGGCACGACAAAGTTTGCGAAGTTTACTTGCCCTAGCAAAGCTTTGTAACTCGCGAATACAACGCATAACTATGGTTTTTGCGCTGTATTTTTACCTTGGGTAGCGACATCACATTGACCATAGTATTCCAGCGAATTCCAAGATATTCTAAATTTTGGGTTGGTACCAATACGGATTTTTTTGGTAATTGATTTTCCAACCTAGGTGTTCCAAGTGTCTCACGGCCTCCGCGGCCTGAGAATCTAACTTGGAAGGTGTTCCAAGTGTCTCCCGGCCTCCGCGGCCTGAGAATTTAACTTGGAGGGTGTTCCAAGTGTCTCACGGCCTCCGCGGCCTGAGAATTTAACTTGGAGTGGTCTTGGTTGACCAGAAGGTAGTCGTCTAGGAAGACTAGCACTCGACATCCCTTCGCACGTAAGGTCTCCGCGACCCAACATGATACTGCAGAGGAAAGGTGTGGTACTGACGCTAGCCCAAAAGGAAGGCAAGTCATATTTTCGTATAACTGCCCTTTTTAGCTGAGCCTTAAGAAAGGTCGGTGTAATCTCGCTGCCGGTAGATGCAAATAGGCTTGTGATAAATCTATTTATCATCCAGTCCCCTGGTTGAAGAAAGTCTGGGACTAAGCCATGGGAGATCAACCGAAAATGTTTTGTCTTTACGAATCGGTTTAGTTCTCGCAAATCTACAATAGAACGCATCGTGCCGTCGCTTTTCCTGCGAAGAACCATTTTGGTAATAAAACTGGGGGTTTTGTTGAGAACTGTTTGTAGAATACCAGGAGTTCTATGATTATCTGCGATGTCGTAGGTGACGGTTCGGTTGCGTATTGACTTACTATTCGATTTGTTGCCATTAACAAAGGCGGTTTTTTGTACAGAGGTATGCGGAATCCTTGAATTGTGTTGGATAGTAATTTTTCTCCGTCATTGTTAGATAACGGGTAGTTTTAAAGTTGTTTATGACTATCGATTTTCCTGTTAAACGTTCGCATTGTTTCTTGTTTTAGGTGGGTATTACGAAAATTATTTTTTCCATTTTGTGCCTGGTGTCTGTATTTGGATGTAGACGCTAACGATTCTTTGTATCTAGGTTTAAAAAGCTCTCTTACTCTTGAAGATTGCGGCGGAGATAACCAGAATTGCGGCCCACCGAGGGATTGTATTGTATTAGAGACGCGAGCTTACTTTTATCAAATAAAAATTCCTCGCTAGGAGGTATATTACTAAGCGCAGTTTGAATACTTTTGTCCGAAATCTCACTTATTAATCTTTTACGCCTAGTTTCTATACATTCCGCTCGTTTTCCGCATACAATTTGTAGGGTTTGTTCATGCAATTTGTGAGAAGGTGATTCATTACCAACAATATAGGATATTTTTGTGAAAAGATTAGCGGGTTTTAATTCCGTTGGGTTATTACGAGTCCAGTTTATGATTTTTTGTAATCCAGATTGTAGTAATTTTTTATACTTTATACCCTTTGACATAGGAGTTTTTAAAAGCTTAATATATTAGGTATTATATTTTTATATATTTATTTTGTATTTTTTTTTCTTTTTTATCGGCCTTCTTAATAATCTTTTTATCATCAATATTTGTGATACCAAGCCCAGAGATTTCGATTTTCGGGTCGACGGATTAATAAAAAATCGCTATAGTAGTTGGTCGGTCAGTGGGTACCCTCGTCATTGGACGCACTGGCGTTGACATTTGGTACATAATATTGTTGATGCATTATAAAATTTGTGAGGAAACTCACCTGATTATATAACGCGTCGATCATGGGATCGACCGTTACCTGTGCTACTCGTTTCCTTTTCTTTCGTGGCGGTCCCTCGCGCTCCGAGTCGCTATCAGACGCGCTGCTGGTGCACGTGGAGTCCTCTTTGTCTTGTTCGCGACCTTGCTCGACACTTTATTAGACTACCTGCCTGATCGGCCCCGGCGGCGGCCGTATCGGCACCGTGAGTCCATTACGCACTTGTAATGTATAAATAATGCGTTTTGCTAATAATTAACACTAAGAAAGACTATAAGGTTTTAAGTCGTTATTAAGTCGTTTCGGTTTCGACCGCACGCGGCGAAAGTACACAACGCTATGACTGTGGAAATGACAACGTCCTAGCTGGTTAAGATAAGTATGAAGTTGAGGCGATTACAGCGCCATCTATTCTATCTAAGCGGAACTATTTCACTCGGTATGTATCGCACTTCATGGCTAAGTATACATTGCTTCTTCATTATACAATGCTGTATGTTTTCCGGAGGCACATCAATATATTATTATCGTTTTTTATTATTCATAAACTGTAAATAATTAAAACAGCGAATTATAAAAATCTTATACATGACGCTGGCTAATGCACAAACCGTGCAGAGCCATAAAGGAAAAAATAAATTAGTAATATTATTTATTGTTGAAAAATTTGTAAGGCTTTCGTTTCGTCGTTTCTCATCCATGTTTTCGTGGCAAAGAACATATTCATCAAGATGAAGAGAATAAAAATAAAGAAAATTACTCAAAAGGTAAAAAAATGTTAGTGAAATAATCAAAATCCTAACTCTATGAATTTTTTTTCGCAGAAACATAGCGCACTCTGCTGATGCATTTGAAAACTAATTCACGCTCCAATTAAGCTTCAGCATAATTCGGCATTGTGCGCCACTGAGTTGCATTATGCTCTGTAATTGGAAAACTACCTTCATTAGTGTGTACGTTTTTAATACATCTTTATGAATAACGATAGCAGATACATGCCAATAATCATTGTACCAGGCAACAACCAAAGCTTTTTTATCGATTTAAATATTATTAAAACCGATGGAGGTTTAGCATTCAATGAGTATTTTTACTATGTAGACTGAATAGTTAAAAACACCGAGACAAGAGATATGAATTATGTGAGAGATTGTTTTTATGTCTTAGTTCAAATTTACTCAAAAACAAAATGTTAGCTAGATATATTTTTTTAATTTACTTCAACAGTCAATTGTTAAAATTCCATCAATGCAGGAAAATAGTTAATACTGGCAATTTTGTAGTACATTTTTAGATTATAGACTTATTTTAAATATGAAGTTTTGTGTTTTACTGAATATAGGTTTTTTAAATCATAATGGATTAATTCATTCCAGAGATTACTTCAAATTTTGCAAATGTAATGTATGCGAAAATAAAATCAAACAATTTATAGCCTCAAATCTCTTTATTTATCTTTTTAACATACATAAGTTATATTGTGCATATCAAGCTCAGTCAAACCAACAGGTAACAATAGCCACTGTACTATAAAGATAGTATTTTAATTAAATATATTATGTAACAAAATCCAATACAACAAAAACAATATATTTTAATTAAATATATTATGTAACAAAAAACAATTATTAATGTCCCTTAACACCATGTGGGGCATATAGCCATTTTGTTAAAGGTGCCTTTTTGTTATACAAGTCAAACAATATCGTTCGTCCGTTCTTTTAATTACACAACCCAGAACAACACGGGTTGTATTGAGTAATCTATATAACTGTAATAAAATATTTAAATGCATATTTCCATAGTAAATATTTCATTTCAATAAAAGAGTTACTAATACTGAGAAGTCATATAGAAAGTATGAACTCGTAAGATATAAATACTAAATTCAATGCAATTAAATACAAATTACACATATTCAGGCACCAACAGTTTATAGACTAATATTATCAAATGGGTATTATTCATACATTCGTATTTTATGATTATCATAATAAAGGCACAAACCCCTTAACACTTGTAATTGATATTTTTAAGATAATTTAATGTGATAAAGCGTCAAAAGTACGCATTTCTTCACATGAGAGTAAAAACTCCTTAAAAATGAAATAAAAACAACAGCAAAAATAATCTCTTCTACAATCTATACTATAAAAAGAAAACAAATATCAAATATAAACATACAAACTAACGAATTTATTCTTTTCTATAAATTTTTACTTAAAATACTAAAAATGCTGTAAGGAATCAATTTTGTTCGACTCAAATATAAAAATAATATCGAATTAACAATACTTTTACTACAAACTATACACTCGAAGCCTCCTACGCCTGACCAAAATATAGAGAAACATCCGACCAAACATAGCTGGTTGGTGGTTAAATGTGGTGGTTGGCGTTCGAGACTACGACTGTGTCTTAATTACTGATTTAAAAATTGTTCTATTATTTATTACCGTTAAATAATTTTTTTCTAATACAACCGTAATTGTCCTAAACATTACCTATCTAGATAATAACTATAAAAGCGTCTTTGGGTGATTTTAGCATTGCCTACTAACTATAATAGTGTGAAATACTCTATTGATATGGATTTTTGATACTAATTTTATCAGGCATTATATCCAAATTATCAAATATAATTTTCAAAATGTTAATCATAGACAACAGACAATAGGAATAAAGGTTATCTAATAATTTCCTTAAAATATGTGTTAATGTTCATACAATATTCGAAATTTGAATAAATAATCGAGCAAAATATGAACGTGTGTTCCTAAAAAAGTAAAGGAAAAAAAATAAAAAATATCCACCTGATAAACATAACTCAGTCATGATTTTTAAAAGCACATACGAAAAAGACAACAAGCTATACAATTTCATCTAGAACAAAATGACGGCCGTGAGAGAGTAATGCATTATAAATTGGAAAAAATTCAAACCATTAGGAATTTTAGATAAAGCTACATGAAAGACTGTTAACAAGGTTGACCGTCATTTTTATCAGTAATGAAAGAAGTCTAAAATTACAATGTAAAATGAGAACTCTTTATTAATTTTTATCAAGGGTTACATCAAAATAACTATTAGTTTTATTTTTATTGATTTTAACATCTACTGACTGGTAATATAATCACCATAAGAAAAACCATACTAAATAAACACCATAAGAAAAAAGCTAATTAATTAATTTAAGTCACCTTAAACTATTCCAACGTAAATAATATATGAATTTGGTTTTTAGCATTGATTTAAATACATAGTCTGTTTCTTTGGTTTCTTTTATCATTTCAACCTTGAATTATTGATTGAATTAATGAAATTGCTCTTTATAACACTTTAAAAAAATATTTAAGCAATGCCAATACACTTAAAAAAAGAAGTATCACTTGTATCTGGTCCCAGATATAAATGCTGCTTATTATATAATATTTGGCAATTATTAATTGATTTGTTAGGCAAAAAGCATTTAGCTTAAAAATAAAAACAGTACAATCTTAACTAAAGGAGCAATTTTTTGCAGCCTCTTCAATAAATTAGTCAGCAAAAAATGTATCCATATCCTAAAATAAGTATTACAACAATAACAACAGATTCGTTAAATACAAATATTGACTTCACATCCTGTAGTCTACTTGTCTCTGGAAAAAAAATGTTAACTTTAAATATCCTTTGTTTGAAAAATATCTGAGTCATTGCCTGAACTTTTATATTATATCAAAGTTAGACTGACACTGTATAAGCAGAAAACACTTTTTTACCGGATTGAAGTTATGTATTATTATAAATTTACAATTATTTTACATAATTTTTAATTTAACCGACGTTTCGCGTGCTTTACAGCGTGCGTGGTCACGGTGACTGAAGACAAAAGGTGTTGAATGTCAAAAAGTATCACATCTGTAGAAAAAGTTGCATTATCTGTTTTTATTTCCCCGGAGTTGGTATTGACTAAAAGATGGAGGGTTTTGGCAGAAATGGCTTATGGTGTCCTCTATTAATATAGATCTAATATATATAATACATAACTTCAATCCGGTAAAAAAGTGTTTTCTTTAAATGTGTAAAGGTTATGTCAATAAAAGACAATACTGTATAAGAAGTTCTAAACCTTTAGAGATTTAGCGCTGAGTATGACTCTTCTATGTCAAAAACGTATTGGATTTTGAGGTACGAGAGTCATTCTTTGCGCTGAGAATCATAGACAAATGTGAAATACTTCTTCTTTAGAATTTAAAATCTATGATTCATATTTTTCAACCATACCAAAGTATCATTACACTTTGCTGTGTATCTATTAGCTTTTTTTATTATTAAAAACAAAAAATAAAATTTTACTATACTTACTTAAGCAAAGAGAATATTATTAAAATTTATTAAGTAAAAAATTAATAATTACTTTTTATTATTGACCCTATTCGGCGTGCTGTGGTTGGATTGATGTGAACTGTCGCTTACATCTGAACTGGAACTGCGAATATCACCTTCCATCTGAAATGTAAAGAAATCCTCTTATTTTCAAATCTTACTTATAAACGCCACTTAATTTTAAAATGTTAGTTCTCACTGTAATAGTACAAACCTATACTATAATTTTACATTAAGCTTTTTTATTGCTGTCAACTTATAAGGGAATCTCCGATCACAAGCATAGTTCTCGCTTAAACAATTAGTTACGTAAATAATAATCAGTCACGTGTAACTACTTAGAACCGTTTTAGTGCTGTCATGTAATTAAATTTTAACAATTACCGACAATCATATGTATAAGCAAAAATTAAGATAAGATCACTAACTTATATATTATCACAATATGTAAAATAAACTAAACAATTTAAAACTATTACCCTCTTATTCATAAAAACTAATTGTCTCTTTCTATCTTTTTGTATTTATGCTGTGATGAAAAGGAACAAATGATGACTTTAGTTCTAACAGTGTATGCTACAATTTTAGATTTACTTTTTATGAATAAGGGGTTAAAATTTAAGTATATTTCAAGTCAATTTAAGATTTGATGATAAAATTGTTCTTATTATTGAAATGTATTTCTCAAGCAAATAAGGATATGCTTACATCGCTATTCTATAAACCCGATAGTAATATTAAATAGACAAGTCTAAATTTATATTCATGTCCTTGATATAATTATGTGTAACATAAACTAAAATTAAAAGTGCTTTTGCAGAGTAAGCATGCCGTTATCGTAGTATAGAAAAGCTTACCTTGCCGGCATTGATAGCTTTGTAGGCAACTTGCAGTATCAGCCAAGTCCATACCATATGTAGACATAACAACAGACATAGTAGAGAGTTGAAGATATAGTACGCTGCAAACATCGGTAGAAGCATGGGAGCGCGGATTGATGTACTGAAATTTAGTATCGTCTTTTAATTATTGGAGTCATATATTTAATTTAATAACTAGTAATAAATTTAAAAAAAAAGCAGTTTAGAAACAGCGTATAATGCTCATAATAATCTGAAGCAAAATCAAATATAACTGTAACTGATTAAAAGAACAATAGCCTCAATTAAAAAAAAGTCATCTTTTTCTTGTAAATCTTTATAATTTCATATCGTAGTATGCTTTTTTGCATGAACAACATAATTTCAATGCATCTTCCCACAACTTTTTATTGTTAATACGAACTTCACCATTGTTGCGTAATTTTTTTCTCATTTGCATGAGCATACGTCGAAATTCAGCTTCGAATAAGTTTTTACTATAAATTAGAATGTAAAGAGATCCTGGTTTTGATACCCCAAAAAAACCAGTAGCAAACCTCTTAGGAGTGGGACTTAGATTTCTTTATGTTTCGCGATCTTTTGTGTTTCGTAATAGGCAGGTAGGTGAGGTCTTCAGTGCCTGCACACGTCTTCTTTATTTGGCTTTTACGCATCTCGGTAACCTAACGATGTTTTCCTTCATAGTACGGAACAGCTGGGGTACGAACCTATAACCTCAGAGATAAGTCGCACGCAATAGGCCAGGCAAACCCTTCTCACCTCGCGTAAAATTAATTATTTATAGTTCAAAAGCACAGAACAAAACCTAGCCCATGACACAAAGAACACAACAAAACAGGTGCAAACGCCCCAATGCCTCTTAGGGCGTTTCATGGTTACAATTTCTTACACAATTCTATTATGATTTAAATACACACCTCCAAATAATGAAGAATGGATAGATACCAAGCCTGGTAACAATCCAGAGGACGGTGAAAATTGTAAATATTACGTCGCAAAACTTTTGATAGTTCGCATACTTAGCTGCTTTTGCCGCCTGAAATTTTAATAAAATGTAATTTAACTAAAATATATATAGGGAAGTTTGGTTTATTGTGATTTTACTAGAAGTATAAAATTAACTAGTTCTAAAGAACTTTAAGGATTTAAATTTTGTCACTGAATGTTGCTGTCCATTTAACGGTTATAAAGTGTTTATCTTATTTCGAAAATTTTGGATCCTGATTAGCATCACTGTCAACAAAATATTATTAATAAAATACATTTTTTTCTGCGTTCATTATTTATAATGTGTTCACTATAGAACTTAGCAGGCTTATTTTATGTAAAAAAAAA